TCCAATCCTCTTCAATCCCCTCCAAACGGAACAAGGCCTTACTGGATTAAAAAGTTTGAGCTTGTTTAGAGAAAAAAGTCAAGCTTGTAGTACATTGTCTTTGCCTCACCTTAATATTGTTCAAAGAATCCACGACGATTATGCTGTCTCGTGATACAGACCTATCAACTTCTGATCTAAGAACTCCTCTCAAGTTTTTCTCTACAACCATATCTAACAAAGAAATAAAATGCAGAAGACTTGTCAAGATGAAATGGACCCATGATAAGAGCAAAATAAAGTTGAACAGAGTTGGACAAAACGTAGAATAAGTAATGAACACAAGTAATGGCTAATACCTTTGTAGCTATCATTGCGTCCAAGATGGAGTGATGACTCGTCAATGATACGGACAGTGAGGTCAGATGTGGAGGAGCAGAGAGCAGCGGCGAGACAAGCTGCAGCTGCTGACTTACCACTGCAAGGCTGCCCACATATTACCACAAGCGCCATGGAAAATGTATAGACCTAGCATATGAAGATAAAATGTATCACAAGTGTTTCCAAGGTTTAAACTCTTCACTAGTAAATCTTTCAATGATATAGCAATTGAGAAATTTTCCCAAAAAGGTCAGATGCATGCCATAGCCAGTCTCAGGAGGTTTGAAGTCTAACTCCACTACAAAGGAGCAGTAAAACAAATGAGAATGCGACCAGATTGTGATCAGTCAAATATCACAATCAGGCGAATTTCAACAAGTTCTTACTAGTTCATTCAAATAAAACTAATTTCCATTGGGATAAACATCACCACCAAGCTTCAATTGTACACATTGATGCAAAATAACGTGGGGGCAACGGGTATTTTGCTTGCAAACAGGAGGGGTGCTATTAGTTCTACACCTCGCATCAAAGAAATCATCACTGTCCGGGTGGATTTCCAATCCATATGCCACGCGAGGCTCACTGCTGAGGAGGATGACGATGAAGGGGAGGCTACGAGAGAAGAAGCAATACCTTCGATTCCGTCCGAACTCAGACGGAGGCCGGTGGAAGGAGGATGGCCGAGTCGCCCCTCCAAACAGTGGCGGAGGACGGAAAAAAATCTAGGTATGGGTGTGGCCCATGGACTAGCGCGAGAATTAGAACATAACAAGAAGAAAGGGAAAAAAACAATTTCAATTCACGAAATTATATGACGCAACATTATCCCATCATGACGCAATCTCAATTCTCAAGCATGGCAACAAGCACCAGTCATAAGTTCACAATTCATCATCCATTTGCCAAAAGTGTAAATAGAAGAGGCACTCATAAATACCAGAAGATTGCAGTTGTCAACAATACATCACATGTAAGAACGAACTATTGAGGATAGATAGACATGTAGTGATGTAGACCTGCTGCTGCCCTGCCTGCCTCACTGCCTGTTGCCGGCTGCCCTGCTGCGCTGGCTGCCTGCCTCCCGCGGCCGCCGCGCCAATGCCCAGTGCGGCCGCACCGCAGCGCGCCCACGCCGCCTGCCTCCCAGAGCGGCCGCGCGCCCGCCTGCCCCGCCGGCTGCAGAGCCCCCACCGACCACCGCAGCTCCCTGTCGCAGTGTCGCCGTCGGCCGTCGGCCCGTAGCGCCGCGCCGCCGCCGCTTGCCTCCTCAGCCGGATGCCTGGATTGGATTGGGGATTGGGGATTGGGGAATTTTGGAGGTAGGGTTTCATGTTCAACAGGTCAAAAGGCCCATTTACACAAAAAAAAAAGCCCAATTGGTTGGCCTGTTCGCACGTGGGCTGTGGGCAGGATTGGCTTCGGCAATCGGCAGTTGGACGCCTCGCCGCCGGCTCGAGCGTCCGGGCTGCAACGGCGCAGATCAATCCTCTGCAGGGTGCCGGCGGTGGCGGAGCGGACCGTGCAGAAGCTGGGTTGGAGGTCGTGCACAATCGGGGTATCACCTACTCCCTCCGTTCCAAAAAAAAAAAACTCAATTCCTAAATTTTCGTGTCTAATATTTGACCATCCGTCTTATTTAAAAAAAATTTAAAAAATTTAAAAATATAAGTCATACATAAAGTATTATTCATGTTTTATTATCTAGCAATAATGAAATTACTAATTATAAAAAAATTTCATATAAGACGGACGGTTAAACGTTGGACACGGAAACCCAAGAATTGAGTCTTTTTGAGACGGAGGGAGTATGGCTGAGGCTGATGCCGACGAGCCCAGTGATGCCGGACGCGCTATCTCAGCCTGACTTCGCCGTCTCGCGCCGGCCCAGCCTACTTCACCCCGCGCTGCTCTGCGACGACCGTGATTCGGTCAGTCCCACGCTCTCGCCTCTCGCTCGCCCGCGCGCACCGCCGCCGCTCGCTAATCGCTAGAGTTAGGGATCGGGAGCAGTCAACAGTGGCTTGGGTTGGAAAGTTTGCGGGTAGAGGTGTCTTCTTACATGTTGTCCCATTTAATCTGGGTCCACCTAATTGACATCTAAATTAGGAGCATTTTAAAAAGTGATGGCAAAATTACAAAGTTTAGAAAATAGAGATAAAATCATTTGCATTGCAAATGAAAGTAGGGGCAAGAACATGATTCTCCCTATATATATTGTTAGAGTTGGAGAAAGAAATGGAGGCATGGTGGACGAGGTTTAGCCGCGATGTCGGCTAGTGTGGAAAAAAAGTCAAAAAAAAGTTTTCATCTGGCTTTTCAACTAACCGAAATTAATTTGATTATAATTCGGTTAGCACTCTCGATTAACTGGCATTAGAAAAGAGGCCTAATTATTTATCTCGATGAGTGTTAAGTTGTAAGTTAAAATTAGTCAAACAACTTATGTTCTGTCTCAATTTCGACCAAAATTACATTAAGGGCATAACAAAATCTTTCAATCAAAATTAAGATACATAATTGAGATACAAAATTAGTATAAATTCATGCTAATTTCATTGCCATTCGGTGAACTATTCCAAATATTTCACCGAATGGCCATGAATTTGGCATGAATTTGTACTATAATGTAATGAACTTATTTGATTACTGAATTTGGCAAAATGGCATGAATTTTCGCATGCATGGCAATAAATTGTACTGAATTTGTTCTGAAATGGCAAAATGGCAATAATTTAGCATGAATGGCAAGTCAGATATAGATGGAACTAGCTTAAAGTTGAACACAAACATAGATCCCACATAATGTCTAGCACATAATCTTAAATTTACATGGTAGCAGCACCATTAAAAGTAGAACACACAGGTTTGTGTGGAGCTTGGGATACCAGGAGCAAAACATAAAATAGTCTAGACATCAATCTACATAAATAGTCTTGACATCAGCTTGGGATACCTGGAAATGACAGGCCACATCACAAAATACATAATATTTGATATTGTTCAAATCGACGTCAGTCTTCATATCCTAAGCTTCTTCCTTGGAGTAAGGGTGTGTTTAGTTCTTTGGGTGTAAAGTTTTTAAGTATATGGACACATATTTGAAGTATTAAACGTAAACTAATAACAAAAACAAATTACAGATTCCGCATGTAAACTGCGAGACAAATTTATTAAGCCTAATTAATATGTCATTAGCAAATGTTTACTATAGCATCACATTGTCAAATCATGGCGTAATTAGGCTCAAAAGATTCGTCTCGCAATTTACATGCAAACTGTGCAATTGGTTTTCCCATATTAAATGCCCCATGCAATTGGTTTTTGGCCAAAAATTTTTTGGATCTAAACAAGGACTAAACTTTCTTGGAGACCATCTAGGTGGCTTATAGGAATGCAAATTGCTAAATTGTTAGCAACTGAGGCAGTAGTAAGGAATATAGTAGTTTTGATAACATTACCTCCTTGTAGGCCCATCAGTAGGTTTTTTTTGTGTGGCTAGGAATATCAGAGCTATTCCCATACTTTACTTTTGTAGTGTTCCTCCTTGGCTTCCTCTTCTTGCAAGTTTTCAGATTATGTAGGACATAAAGGATAAGTAGAGAAATTAATATAGATAGATTAATACTTGCCTTTTCTTTGTCCCATTAAGATGACTGTTGGTATTTTCTTAACAACATTGCTAGAAATATGAATTCCCGGCAATGGCGCAAAAATAATCCTGGTATATTTATGGTTACAGAAGTAATCCGCAAGCGCATGGATATACCATTGTAGCATTTCACCGAAAATATTCTCATATTTATTTAATCTCAAGAGAAGATTTATAAGAAAGAACTATGCTAATAATTTATATACATTACTCGTATATATCAAAGTCTAAGCATGGGTTAATTCAGATCATATGGGTAGAATGACACAAAGCAGAAGGACTTAGATTCTCTCATTTAAATAATTTTAGACTATCTGGAAGAAGAAATAGAAAAGGTAATTATTCATATACTTCTAATAAACACTCAACTTTAGTTTACATTTGCTAGTATACAATTGTGTAACCAATACCCCTAATAGTGCCCTCCTGGTTTTTCGAAAGACCACCCCGGGTTGCCGAGTTTCTTACGACAACCTGTCATAGTGGCCGTCCAACGGGGCTAAATACGGAGGAGTACCCTCCCCAGGAAAGTGTCTTAGGAATATATATCAATGTGGAGGAATACCCGTGCTGAATTGTCACCATCAGCGGCCCGTCACTACTGTCCCACAGCATATATGTCTAATTAATGATATCTAATAATCTAAGCGCCATGCTTACATTATCAAATACTACTCTATACCCTCGAGAATAATATAGAGCAATCATTCGCATGAACATTAAACCACACCACTGCACCTATCTGGTAGGCTAGTCACACAACTATATCGGCACAAATAAAAATGAAAACCAGTGCTCAGGCAAAGTAAAGTACTGAATATATAAAGAAGGATATTCTATTAATTCTGAAAGTCTTACAAAAGAAGAAAGAAAAGCTACTAGAGCCATACCCGAAATCTTCCGAAGACTCAAGGACTCTGAGAACTATTCTATTGTACTCCACTTAGCACTAGAGCACTAAACTAAACTTGAGAGAGAGATCAAAGCTTCTTACTTGAGGTGTGTAGAAATGAATGAAGTGACCCCTTTATATAGCCTTCCAATGACAGTTAAAACGGTTGGAATTGTCGGAAATGCCCCCCAACCGTCATTACGGAAGCATCTTGAACGTACACGTGGAGGGCCGAGCTGAGGCGTCGTTGGCAGGGTTCCGCCGAACCTAGGCCAGCCTAGCAGGCCTCCAAATTCGGTCGGGGGATGATAGGTGGGTCCTCATGGCGGTTGTGGCAATTATGATGGTTTTCAGGATGGTTACACCTGACTTGTGAGCCCTTCTATCCTTAAGCTTGCTTAGGAGTGAGTTTTTCTTCATTTCTTCACCATTTATGTGCTAATGATGAACCCTGAGTTCCTCTCAACACTCAAGGCTGTTGTTGGCCCGATCTTTCGGTGAGTTGTGATAACTACGATTTGGGAGAAACGTTGACGATCCGACTACAACCGTACGAGACGTTGTGTTGCGCCTTAGCGATCGATACACCTCTCCGTAGGTTGTTGATCTTGCCGGTGCAGATCAACCCTATTCCTGCAAGCAAATCGAAGAAACAAGCAAGAACAAGAATAAAGCAATCTGATATTGCAAATAGGAATTTAATACAAATGATAAGTTGGGGTTCCGAAGAACAAGCAGACGGACGGTCTAGCCGACACGCGCGCTGCAAGCAAGTAGCAATGGCTAAACTTTAATCTAACAAAAACCCAAGAAACCCTGAAGGGGTACCTAACTATTTATAGAGGTGGGAGGACGACTAAGAGGGTCCAAGGGTCGTGCTCCACCAGATTGGGGCGCACCCCACATGGGCCCCACATGGGCCAGGGTCCCAAACAAAGTTACAAGCCCATTGGCCCAATACAGGAGACGCAGCACCTTGCTTTTGTGATTGCGGCCAAACGAGATAGATTTCCGAGATGAGGCTGGATCCGTTGGAAGGAGGACTTCGAGAGCTTTCCATCAAGTACTCACGGGCCCAAAACGGAGCACGTATGTAGATTTGGCGGCCGTTTGAAGTCAGCAATGTAACACGTGGCCGAATCAGATTGCAGCACATGGAGGACTTGATCTTGATGTCTTCTTGTTGATTCATGATGTGAGCAATGGTCGTATCCATAGTAGCCATGGTCACATCATCCTCCCCTTCTTCACAGAAAACCGTCCTCGGTTTTTCCATATGGTGCTCTTCGCGCAGTCCACTGAAAACAACCTGTTTCTTGCAATCAAAACAAGACAAACTCGAGACAATATGATTAGCAGTAACATGTCTCTCTAGCTTGCATATTTTATCCGGAACTACAAGATGTTCTATATCTGAACAAATGTAAACTCTATGCACCAAAAATATTCCTCTATCATTATATTCGCCAAAGATATGAAAAATAGCATTAGTTGGACATGGCAAATCAGATTTAGCAAATAATTTCTCCTTCAAATTATCGAGCTCACAAAAATCATCAAACTGAACATAGCCCAAAGTATTTAAAGAAGATAGCAATTCGCGTTCCTCTACTTCATTAGCAATGTGAACAACATGCTTAGAATCAGCACACAAAGAAATAGTAGAACTAACATGTTCATTCACTAGTTGTGGCATGGATATAAGTGAAACATTATCACACAACTCTTCTTTATCACAAGGAACAGCAAGTAAATCAACTTGTGACAAAGGCAACTCAGTAATTGATTCCACTAATGGTTGCTCTACTATAGCATGAAAAGTGGACAAGTGTAGCTCACCTTGAGAATACTCACCTTCATTTCTCTCAGCACCATTTAATTTACCTTGCGAACTTTCTTCAGATAATGTAGCTGCATCAGCCTTCTCCTCATTCGCGAGTGATGGAAGTGACATCTCAAACATATCGTTCTTCTCATTTTGGAGACTTTTCTGAACTTCCTGCAAAACATCAGTGATAGGAGGCACAAGCATATCTTGTTGCTCCATTG